ATTCTTCGTGTAGGCTAGTGTTATACACAATTTCATGATGAATAAATGTATTTTGTAATAATTTTATGTATTTGACCCAACTGATATGTTAAACAGCCCCTTGCCCAGCATCTGTGTCATTCTCGAGTAATTGGCATCGGAGAGGCTAAGATGTCTGAACTAAATTTAGCAATCTGATACGAAAACTTGCGGATATCTGGTTATTACTATAGCACTGATATATTTACAACTTTACCCTGACGCAATCCATAAAGAGTCTAATGATGAACTTTGAGTAGTTTTGGTAATGCTATATAGGATTATCGAAAAACAGCATAGTTCCCGCAATTTAGAGGATAATATTGATTTATACAGAAGACTTGCATTAAGCGGCTAATTTCTGTCAGCTTCATTTATTATTAAATTACTCTGTTATTAACTAAGACTATCTATATTTATATGAAATAAATGCTTAGCCGATTGTTATTGTTTAGAGGTTGCTCTGATGCTACATTTCTTGAGTTGAAGTTGGATGAATATTATAGTCAAACTGTTGACAAAACCTAATGAATAATTGTTAGACCCAAAGCTCTGATATTTGGACGGGCCGCTAAATTATGGAAAATAGAGTGGAATTTGTTTAACTCGAAGATTCTTTTTATATCATTATGTGTTTTATCCGGTTCCATATTAAGTCAGTCATATTGTGAGGAAGTTGAATGTTCACCTGTGTTTTCACTAGTAATCTAATTATTAAACTATAATATTTTTCATTTTTACTTGGCATCTACAGCTAGTCGTTTGGAGGAGCGCGAAGCTGAACTAAAGAAGGACAATCAAAGACTTCATGAGCGCATTACTGAACTGCTTCGTGCCAATGTTGAACTTTCTGATCGACTTAAATGTACCTCAGCTACATCCACATATCCAAATATCGCTTCCCAGTCAATCGCAAATAGATCGGGACTGAGATTTCAACCACTCATTCGTCGTGGACCAACCTCAAATTCTCTAGGTGTGTGTCTGATTTAAATAATCAATCACTATTTTCAGACCTACCCATTGAAGTCTAGATGCTTGTGATTTTACTCGTTTTATAGAAGGATCGGTGAAATGTTATTAAGGTTGGGGATCAAGATAGTTTTCAGAGTTTGACACTTCGATTATATCTAACTTTAAAGAGAAATATGATTATTCAAATCTGGCTGCTACAAAATGATGTGTTCACATGACGGACCCTATTTTGGGGGAACCGGTAGTTTTATTTGCCAAGGACTGGCTAAGAACAAGGAATATTTATAGAGCACATGACAAAAATTGCACATTAGATGCTAGTTATGACATACTACACAACGCAAGTCATTGAGGTCAACAGACTAGGGAGCATATTTAATGTTAAGAGTGTGGCAAAAAATTGATCATTAACTTCTCCTTTTCGATTATCAGACCCAAGGATTAAAGAGGTTGAGCTCCTTTCAGAAAAGAGCCGATTAAATTCAGATAGTCTCGACTTTTGTTTTAATTAATGCTTACGTGAGCACATTAAGGTATAAAGCATCAGCAACTAAGGAAATTGCATTAGTATAAATATCAAGAGAAGTCTACTCCGTTTTCTTAACTTATGTGATATTAATTTAATAATGCGTCATTGCGCTGATGGTGTCTATCGTATGTCAGATATAAGCTCAGTACGAAGATATTAATAAAAATAAAGTTTCGAAGAATTCATTACTCATTTACGATGACATGACTTTCTAGTTAGAAGGAAAAGTTGGTTTGAAGGAATTCGTAAAATGGTTATTTTTGGAACCCGAATGAGGATTGCCACGGAGTGAAGACTGTTGGATTGTGCGAAGAAGCTCTCGGCTTACATTCCTGTCACCTCGATTAACCTGTGCTAAGATTTCGTCGTAGATACGAAGAGACACTGGGTTTCGATGAATCTCCTGAGATAACATTGCTTCGGAGAGATTTATTTCGAAATTCGTTAAGCCGAAAATTTCCAATTAAATGTTGAATTATCTCAAATCCTTATAGTGACCACTTAACCCCAAGATAAGCCAAGCTCTGGTGAGTTTTCATTACTTGTTAAACATGAACACCACAGGATATGCTATTTCGTAAGATGCGGAGGGAGAATAGATGTCGCAAAAAACAATGGAATGATTACAGAACATTTATCTGAATAACCGACATCCACTAGAAACTACCCAGTTTATAATCTTCTTAGGAGTGCTGAATAGACTTAGGCGAGGTCTAAAATGCTGTAAATTCTGGATGCTAAAACATTTTATGGCGCAAGGTCAAGTGGAATTCAGTAGAATCGTTGTTGGAAGGATTTCTTAGATGATCTTAGATCGCTTAGAGCTTCAAATTCCCATTAAATAATTGGATGATAATGAATAGGTTATACTAATTTTGTGAGGGGGTTTAGCAAGGTATATATACTTCAATAATTTTTCAATT